GTGAAATACCAGATCGAGTGGACGCGGTGAGTTCACCGACGCGCAGAAATCCAAAAAACGCTAACAGGAAAGCCACTCGAAACAGTAGGGCTTCATACTGATTGGTACAAACGGAGTGCAACGCAGGAATAATACGCCGCAGTTAAACAATCGTAATAGGGCTGCGTTGATTGCGCCGCCCGTACCGGCGGCGGCGGCAACCATCTAACATTCGTTTCACAATGAAATGTTTAGTTCTGTCATGGGAACCCTGCAAGCAGAGTGTAGATGCAATCCCTGAGACATACGATGCAACAGTAGCCGGAGCGTGGGACTAGAAGATGTATTAAGAAAACCATGGCGGGAAATAAACCAACAGAAAAATTGCCAAGCACATTGGTAAACTGAATGAGTACGCGGGGCAACTGAGTCCATCAAAAGACTGTGAACCTCTAAATTTAGTTGTTCCAAAGGTCTGCAGGCATGGGTGTCATAACGGGGGCGGCCTCGGGTGCCAGCCGCCGGAAACGATCCATCTGAAAACGAGATAGAGCATCAGCGATGCCATTATCAAGACCAGGTACATGGCGTGCCTTAAAGTGGATATTCAACCTCAAACAAAGCACTACAAACATGCGAACCAATTTCATAATTCTGGGACACCGTGATGTTTGGCTATTAATAATCGCCACCACAGCCCCATTATCACACCAAAATATGACAAGCCGGTTTTGCAAGGCCGGGCCCCATAAGCGCAACGCGAGGGTGATTGGGAGAAGTTCAANTTGGGATGCGTCCGTATACAAGTGCAAGTTGCCGCTAGAATACCATACCTCTTGAGGGAAAATAACCGAACCATTAAAATGGAACAAAAATTCCCACCAAGCCAGCATGTCGGCCCGCGCACCAGAGGAAATACAGATCTGATGATGTGGTTTCTGAATGCCGCTTGTGAGATGGAAGAGACGACGCAAGAAGGCCCGGCCCTGCCGTATTGCCTTACAAACGAAATTTAGGCTACCCAGCAATGATTGAAGCTCTCGTAGGGTGACCTTACGCTTGGACAAAGTGCAATCCAGCTTCGCCAGAATTGCAAGGACCTTGGCCGTAGGAACCGGGATCTGCTGGGCAACTGTATCAATCGTTAAGCCCAGGAAATCTAAGCTTGTCACTGGCCCCACTGTTTTGTCACTGGCCAAAGGAACACCAAAGTCCCGGCAAACTACTGTGAAAGAAGTAAGCGCATGTGCGCACTCGTTAGATTGCCCTTCGCCCACAAAGAGAAAATCCTCCAAATAGTGGAGAATGTGCGGAGTAGCTGCAACCTTACGAGTGCAATATTCGAGAAA